TTATTAGATATAGCAAGCTTCCAGAAGACAATATCAATATAGAAAAATGAAAAAAATTAAATCTTACACTCATCTAATAAAAATGAACAGTAAAAATTTAACTGAAAAATACACAATTTACAGCAGCATAAAATACATTATTCTTGGGAACAAATTTTAAAACTACAACAAAAATAAGATCTGCAAGTGTAAAAGTTTAAAAGTTCATGGAGAGAAATTAAAGAAAGTCTAAATAAATGTGTATAAACAGTATTCATTGGGAAGATTACATATTATAAAGATGACAGTTCATTCTAAATTAATTAATAGAGTTAGTCTGATCACAATAAAACCTCTACTAAACATCACGGTTTATATCGAAAACTAATAATGAAGACCTAGCTAATGTGCATGAATAAACTAATGGGACTAGAAAAAGATGAATGGTTATACACATGTTTGGATTTAATTTATAGTAACATGATATTCATTGCACTGAAATGAGTGGGGATGATTATATATGCCTTTGGAAAAATATAAAAATATGCCCTACCCTCACTCTACCCATACCAAATCTGTCTGAAATACAGACCTAAAGGTTAAAGGCACAAACATACGTACTAGCAGGGTCCACTGTGTTGGACAGTTTTCACGGTGCTTCCAGATTTAGGCAAGCAAGCACGAAGGACCTGGAAATCATTTATAATAAAACTGTCTAGTGAAAATCATATGACTAGCAGGGAGATATTGTCTGATATATTAGCCCTGCAGGTTTTTGTGGCCCTCAAGATATGGGTGAGGAAGGGCTGCCTCCTCTGAGCAGAGGCAAGGTTCATGATGGATGGAGTCAAGCTTTGCAGACCTTCCTTTGCTGATGTGGCATGATGGAAAATAAGAGGAGGAGCTACAAAATCAATGCATAATTGAGAAGAAGCTTCAAGGAAGACATTGGTCCAAATAACGCATGAATCTTGGGAAATTATCAATGAGGGAATGGGAACAAATCTGAGAGCTTTGACTCAGGGAATACATAGGCTATCAGAAATAAGGAAGGACACAAACACAGAGGTGGCACAGATTGACAAGTGGGATATACTAAAGATAAAACACTTGGGTACATCGAAAGAATTTGCCCAGAAAGTAATAAGAGAGACCACAGAATGGGAAGGCATTATTAGCAATGACACATCAGACAAAAGCCTTATTATTAAAATCTACAATACTCTGCAAACTTACAAGAAGAAAAAATCCAATTGCCCACTAAGGAGGTGGGCAAAGGTCCTGAAAAGAAGTTTCTTAGGGGCAGAAATCCAAACGGCCAATACATATATGAGAAAATGTTCCAGATCTGTAGGCATAAAGAAATGCAAATTAAAACAACTATGAGATACCAACTAACACCCTCAAAGATAGCCCAATTCAAAAAATCAGAAACCAACAAGTGTTGGAGGGGCTGTGGAGAGATAGGAACTCTGTAGGTATGTACAGCCATTATGGAAATTGATTTGGCAATATCTAAAACAGATGGAAATTGAGCTACCGTACAACCCAACAATCCCCCTACTGGGCATACACCCGGAAGAGACAAGAAACAAACCACGGCCAGAAATCTGTGCTCCAATGTTCATCGCGGCACAGTTCACAATTGCAAGGAGTTAGAAACAACCCAAATTTCCATCAACAGATGAATGGATTTAAAAACTGTGGTAAACAACGGATGTATGTATAGACTGTGATAAGCGTTGTACGAGTCCCCAATAAAATGATAATAAAAAAACCTCTGGTACATACATACAATGGAGTATTACATATTCCTCAAAAGCAGTGATGAACACATGAAGCACATGGCTGCATGGGAAGAACGGGAGGAAATCATGCTAAGCAAATTAAGCCAAGTACAAAAACACAAGTACAACATGTGTCCGCTAAGGTAAGCTCAAAAAATCCAATAGGGGCATAGGGAAGAAGCTACTGTATACATACATTCCTGGGGTGAAGTCCAGGTAGTATGAAAGGGGCCAGACTAAACCCATGGATACATATGGTAGCCAACTAAAAAGGAGGGGGGGAAAGACATGGGAAGCCGGGGGGACAGGTCACTAACCCACTGAAGGGGAGCATGTTGTTTATAGCTCCACAGGGAAAGAGGGACCAGACTTCAACCCATTTCTCCAAGACAAGAATGCAACACACCGGCATGAAGCAGGGAAACCAATAGAGAGGCCTGAGGGGCTGGCCCTATTACCACCTAAGTGGATAGCGCTCCCTTCCCCCAGAAGAATGCATTTCAGAGGACAGCACTGAAGCTACAGCTCAAGGAGAGGGACCTGTCGGATCAGAGCACACAGGAGCAAATGAAGGGGGAGGAAAAAAGTGGGAAGCACATCCTGGCCCACCAAGCCCTGAGGACAATATTTCTGCTCAGAGCTGCCAATACACAGAGAGGACCATAGGACCTGCCCTCACTGATCCATAGCACTGCAGGGGACAACACAGGAGACACACTGAGGGAATTGTGCCCACTTGGACCCCACCACACCAAGGTGAAACAATAAAGGCATGCAATAGAACAGCAAGAGGAGCAGAGCAATGAAGTCCCCAGGGAACACCAAAAATAGACTGTGGGGCCAGGGAGTGGCACCCAATCACACTCGACTGGAAAATATAAAGGACAACAAATAGACCTTGAACAATTTATAGGCTTTTATTTTGTCATTGGCTTTTCTTGTTGTTGTTGTAGTTATTGTTTTATTTTCTATTGTTGTTTTGTTTTACTCTGTCTTGTGTTTGTGCATATTATTATCATTGCAGGTGTATCTAGATAAGATAGGTGGGGTAAACAATCTGAAGAAAAAAACACCTGGACCTATGGTTCAGGAGGGGACATTGAAGATGGGGAGGTGGGGGAAAGGAAGTGGGTGTTAACAAACCCAGGGACAAGAGAACAACAAGTGACCGAAAATCGATGGCGAGGAGGGTGTATGAGGTCTGGTAGGGCTTGATCAAGGGCAATGTAACCGAGAGGAATTACGGAAACCCAAATGACGGCTGAACATGATAGTGGGACAAGAGGAAAGTAAAAGGAAATAGAGGAAAGAACTAGGAGGCAAAGTGCAACTATAGAGATCTAAATATAGGAATGTACATATGTAAACATATTTATATATGACTATGGGGAAATAGATCTATGTACATATATGTATAGATTTAGTATTAAGGAAGCAGATGGACGTTGGGCCCCTACTTAAGTAATCCCTCAACACAAAAACCCTTCGTTCTAATAATCCGGCATTCTGAGATACTCACCTTCCCAACAGGATCACTGAAGGCAAAAGCGGGTGCATAAGCAAATGTGGTGAAGAAAGTTGATGGTGCCCGGCTATCAAAAGATATAGCATCTGGGGTCTTAATGGCTTGAAGGTGAACAAGGGTCCATCTAGCTGAGAAGCAACAAAGCCCTCAAGGAAGAAGCACACCAGCCTGTGTGATCACAAGATGTCGATGGGATCAGGTATCAGGCATCAAAGACCCAGTGTAAAACATCATTATATGAATGACAAGGGGAGTGCGGAGTGGGAGCCCAAAGCCAGTCTGTAGGCAATTGGACATCCCCTTACAGAAGGGTTGTGGGGAGAAGACTGGCCAATCAGGGTGCAGTGTAGCACCGATGAAACATACAGATTTCCTCTGGTTTTTTAATGCGTCCTCCCCCGACCATCATGACCCAAATTCTACCTTACAAATCTAGCTGGACTAGAGCATGTACATGGGTACAGATAAGAGCTGGAAACACAGGGAATACAGGACAGATAAACTCACAGGGATCAATAGGGAGAGTAGCCATGCCAGGAGGGGAAGGGGAAGTTGGGAGGAGAAAAGGGGAAACCGATCACAATGACCTACCTATAAGTCCCTCCCAGGGGGATGGACAACAGATAAGAGGATAAGGGGAGACATCAGACAGTGCAAGGCATGAATAAATAATAATAATTTATAAATAATCAATGGTTCATGAGGGAGAGAGGGGGAGGGGAAAATGAGGAGCTGATACCATAGTTTCAAGTGGAAAGAAAATGCTTTGAAAATGATGGTGGCAACATATGTACAAATGTGCTAGACACAATGGATGGATTATGGATTGTGATTGAGCTGTACAAGCCACCAATAAATGATTTATAATTTTAAAAAATTTGCATACGTATTTATATTCTCAGCATTCCTGAGCTGTAATGGACTGGTATTGGCTATTTAGGATTAAAAAAAAATCTTATAAGGATGTGTTCCACTCTCTTCCTCCCCATTCATTTGCTCTCGTGTGCTCTGATCAGACATGACCCTCTGCCCTAGCTGCAGCTTCATTGCCGTCCTCTAAAGTTAATTCTTCTGGGGGGAGGGGAAGTTGTCCACATAGCTGGTATTGGGGCCGAGCCCTTAGGCCCCTCCACTATGGATGGATGTATAGATTGTGATAAGAATATATGAGCCCCCAATAAAATGTATAAGAAAAATCTTATACTGTACTATATCAGAATGACAAATTGTATAGAGATGTCACCACATTCGTTGTCCAAAAGAATATTCATTTCAAGATTTACCTTGAATTATAACACTGTCAGTGATAGGCTAATGTCCATAGACCTATAAGAAGTTCAGTTAACATAATTAATATTCAAAGTTGCATACCAATCACTAATATTAAAGGGGATGAAATTGGAAGTTTTTATCAACTTTTGTTGCAGTTGTAAATCAATCAAATATGCAATTACAAGGCACTGAAAATTACTGGTGATAGAAATGTGGAAGCTGGAAATAAAAAGAAAGATCGCAGTAGGAAAATATGACCTTGGTCAAATATGGCCTTGATGATAGAGATGCCATTCACATTGCATGAGAGAATTTTCAAGCCCAACAGCCTACTCAGTTGAAATATTTTAATTCAATAACAAGTAATGACCGTGACTGTGAACTTTGACAGATGGAATACACAGGATTCAAATTGACTCTGTCTGTGGGAATAGACCATGGAGAAGTTTAATACCATCAGCCAGATCAAGACTAAGGGTAGATTGCGCAACAGCCCAACAATTGCTCAAATGCAAGTTATGGTGGAAGCTGAAGAAAAGTAAAGCCATGAGATCCTTGAGTCTGTCCTCCTGAACTTCAAAAATACCTTGAGACCAAATTTGACACATTGAGCATGAATGACACAAGGTGGGAAATGCTGTGGGATGATATTAGGAACATCATACACGAACAAAGCAAAAGGTCATGAAACACACAACAAAGGAAGAAACAAACTCAATATCAGAAGAGACTCCAAAACTTCCTTTGACTGTAAATGTAACTACTCTATATTTACATAGAAGAAATGATGAAGTAAACGAACTTAAGAGATTATTCCAAAGAGCAGTTCAAGAAGGCAAAGTAACATATTTGACTGAAACAAGCAAAGAAATGGATTTAGAAAACTAATAAGGAAGAACATGCTCAGCATTTTGTAAGCTGAAAGAACTGAAAGAAATTCAAACTTCAAGTTGCAATATTAAAGGGCTTATTGGGCGAAATATCAAGGATATATGAATCATCAAAATCAGATTAAAGGAGTACACAGAGTTATTTTACCAAATAGAAGTGATTGATGTTTAATCATTTCAGAAGGTAGTATATGATCAAGAATAAACAGTTCTGAAGGAGCAAATGGAAACTTAAATGAAGGTATTGGCTCCAAACAATTCTTCAGGAATTGATGGAATAACGGTCAGGATAGTTCCACAAACAGATATCATTCTGAAAGCATTCACTGGAAGACAGGAGTTGAGACAAGTAATGGCAAGAACTCTATATTTATGCCCATTAAAAATGGGGGGGGGGTGACCCAAAGGAATAAGCAAATCATTAAACAATATCATCAATATCACATGCATGTGAAATTTTGCTCAAGATAATTAGAAAATAGTTAAAGCAGTATATTGATAAAGAAATGCCAGAGATTCTAGACAGATTCAGAAGAGGACATGGAATTTCTTATATCAGATGGATCTTAAAGTATAGAATAATAGATGTTTAACTGAGTTTTATTGACTCTATTATCATTTGGCTTTGTGGATAATAACAAATTATGGATAACTTTGCAAATGTCGGCAATTCCAGGACAAAGCAAGGGGACACTACATGATTTTAAATCTGGAAAGCTGTACATCAATGCTGTATCACTTCATCATACATATTCCCTCTGTATGTTGAGCAAATAATCCCAGAATCTGCTAGGCTATATGATAGAGAAAGCAGCAGCAGCACAGGAGAAAGATTCAGTCACAACCTGTGCTATATAGATGATATAACCTTGCTGGTTAAGAGTTGGGAAGACTTGGAGATGATCAAAGATGGTAGCCTTCCGTGGAACCTATAATAAGTAAGATCATGATAAATAGAGCAGAGATTTAAGTTGTCAAGGGTTCCATTTTACTCCAATAGTCAATACCCAGCGAAGATGTATTAAAAACTAAGGTGCCTATCCACTCTCATATTTATTTGCCTCATATGCATGCTAAAGCCAATTAATTTGCAATATCCCATAAGAGTTTATGAATTTTAAGTATGGTATTGGAGAATAATATATAATATACCATTGACTTCCAGAAGAACATATAAATATGTTTTAGAAGAAGTCCCGCTAGAATATTCCTTAAAATGGAGGATAAGGACACTTGTGACTTTTGACATGCTATCAGGAGAAATCAGTCCTTTAAGAAAGACAGCCCTGAAACCCATAGCCATTGAGTGGATACTGACTCCCAGCCACCATGTAAGGTTTCTCAGGCTGTAACTTTACGGACACAGATAGAGGTGACTTTCTCCTGCAGAGCATCTGATGGGTTTGAGCTTCTGACCTTGTAGTATGATTTGCAGACAGAACATCATTGAAAAAGAAGAGTTTCAACAGGATGGATTGATGCATTGGCTGGAACAGTCGGCTCAAACTTAGAAAGGAGGATGGCGCAGGGCCAGACAATGTTTTGTTCTGTCATACATACATAGGGTAGTAATGAGTTGGATCAGATTTGATAATATCTAACAATAGTAACTACAAAAAGTAACAATTTAAAAATGAATTAAACTTTTCAAATTAAAATATTCAAAATGGCAGTCAATAAAAAGGTGCCTAGCATCACTAAAAAGCAAATAAATTAAAATTGGTTTTAAAAGATATGGTAGATTTTATTTAGTATAGGAACCAACAGTAACTTTTTCTGTTGGTGGCTTATAAGTTACCATAACCACTAGGGATGATGATTTGGCATTATCTGCTAAAATTGAAGGAGTACTTAATCTTTGACCAAATATTCCATGCCTCAGTATAGGGTTTAGATAATCCAATGCATATATGCATTAGGGTACAAGTATGGAATGTTTACATTAAGGTTGGTTTTTAATAGTTACAAACTGGAAAACAAGTCACACGTTCACAAACTGTAAAAGGAACTGAACATAGTTTCACAATGTAATAATAATGACAATAAATGGCCTACAGTTACATAAAAGAGCAGGATTAATTTTACATCAATCATTTATGCCAGGGGCAAAGGAAGCAAGATACTCTGATTCTAGAATAATCCGAATAATGCTATTCATCACATTCACTGCTGTACAGTCAATTATGACTCACAGTGACCCTATAGAAGAAGATAGAGCTGTCCCTGTGACCTTCTTAGACTGTAAATCTTTATGCAAGCAGAAAGACCCTCTTTCTCCTGAGGAGCAGCTAGTAGTTTAAAATGGTTGACCTTGCAGTTAGCAGCTGAGCATGTAATCCGCTCTACCATCAAAGCTCTGTATTCCATTCATACGAAGGGGAAAAACAAGCTAGAATCGTGCACTTACTTTTTTCAGGGATGCACACATTTTGAGATGTTGGCAATATTTTATACCTATCATCTTGCAGTACTAGTATGGTTGTTTTTAATGCGACATTTTAGATTGTATATATTTATGCCCATCTTATATATCGTATGTTTCACAATTTAAAATAGAAATATTTCTTATGTAGCAATTAGATGTGCTTAAAGCATGAAAGGTTTGAGATATTAATTTCTAAACTTTTATTCTAAATCATGCATATGTTTTTGCTCAGAAAAAATAAAGATCATATATTGAGGTCAAATAAAAGTCAGGGTTAACATATTTGAAAAACAAGTACAGTTTTGTGTTTCCCAGTTCATCGTGACTGCTACAACAATCAAACTTAACAATTACCTCCTCCAGTTGTTTCAGGGAAAATCATTTGAAATCCAAGGTAACCCAGAATAAGAGCAGTAGCCAAAATTGCCAGTAGTGGTATTGAGTGGGGCAGAGAGAAGACTATCCAATAAACTGGTGTGTGTGTGTGCGCGTGTGTGTGAAGCAAGCCTCTTTTTGGTACTATATGATTTTAAATGAATGTTGGAACTAAATTTGGGTATGATTTCAAAGTGAGGCATCACATATCTACAACAAAGAAATCAATGGCAATGTGTATTTGTGTGTGCGTGCGCGCGCATCCATATATAAATACATAGAGACACCTAAAAATAGCCAACACGTGTCCTTGGCCCAGAGAAAAGAAACCTTAATGCTCTGATTGGCACACTACCAGGGATTTCATTGTAGCCATCTTACTATTTGAAGACTTCTGCAGCTGTGATGATAACACTGACAATAGGACAGACATTGCATTTCAACAGGAAGAAGTGGCATTCAGTTTGAAATGTGTCCACAAAGGTATTTTAATGATAATGAATGCACTGCCCAATAGCCAGGCTTCAAAAGCAGTGATTTCGGAATGGCCTGGATTCAGCATCTGCTACAACTCTTCTCAGGTTCGGAGAGTGACTTAACGGTAAATGAGAATGAAAACCCACTAAATTTCATGTTAGATTTTGTCTTCCTAATTCACAAGCACAACACTTTTCTTTGAAAACTTCCAATGCTACTTGAAAGGCCAAATACATCTCTAGGCAAAAGAAACAAATGAAATCGCATCCGAATGAACCTTCTCTCACAACAGATAGAAAACTCATTTCAGCCCAAGCAGGCATTGCTACATCAGCCATTTAGAATTAGTAGCATGCTGATGTAGAAGGCAGATGCAGATAAGATTTGGGGCCTAATATGGGTGATCTTGCAGGGTGGTCCCTCCAAAGAAAATTACCCTTTCCTAATTCCTTGGAGCTGGATAGAAATGTCTTTGTGGTTGCAAGCTCTGGGAAGATTGATGACATTCTCAACGCACTGAATATTTAAAGGCATGAACATTTTATGTAATAGAAGCAATCCTTAATTTCAAAACAGTCACCTGCTTGCTAAAAATAGGGGCTCCTAGCAAGAGAGTGTCTCATTGAACATAATTTTCTATTGGTATATTTTTAGAACACTGTGTGATAAGTTGACTAATGGGGAACTTTACAAGTGTGTTTTAATGATGGGAAAGAGTCTTTAAGTCTGACACAAAATTTCCCCAAGGACAGTGTCAAGTCGATTCTGACTCATAGCCACTGTATTGATAGAACTGCCCCACAGAGTATCCAAAGCTGTTATGTTTCTAGAAACAGATTGGCACATCTGTCTCCAGAAGAGTTGCTGTTGAGTTCAAGGAGTGGAACTTTTGGTTAGCAGCCAGGAGCACTATGGCACCAGGGGGCCTCAGATTAGAAATATGTTAGCTGAAGCCATTGCCGTTGGGTCGATTCTGACCCTAACAATGCTATAGAATAGTGTAGAACTGCTTCTTTGAGCTTCCAAGACTAACTTGGAGCAGACAGCTTCATCTTTCTTCCACAGAGCAGCCGGTGGGTGTGAACTGCTGACCTTGCTGTCAACAACCTAACACTTAACCCACTGTGCCACTAGGGCTCATTAGGGCGCTTGTTAGGCAGGCCAAGTGAAAGCACAACTCACCCACAAAAGGAGCTTCTGAGAGATTTCATTCAATATATCTTACCTTTTGTGAAACCAAGTGTTGGTTTCATTATTTCTATTTCTGGAGTTTGGAGGATACATTTAAGGAAAAGTAAGGGAGAAAGTTAAGCTGTCAGTTTCCTATTTTTAGTTCATAGTTACACAGTGCAATTTCAATAACATCTTTGC